CAGGTAGAGCTGCTGCCCGACCGAGACCCCGACAACGACGGGACCAAGATCAGTGTGAGTGTCGCGGGGGCGGGCGACAGGGGGCGCGCTCTGTCCGGGCCAGGCAGGCCCGCGGGGAAAATCAGTGCATTTCAGGCTTTTCGCGCGTCCTATTGTGAAGCCTTTGCGTATTGCCTCTGAAAAAGGCAATGTCGCAAACGCAGGACGGAAGCCCGTGTTGCTTGCCTCTCTGGGTGCGTAAAAATGGAAGCCGGTTTGGAGTTGGCACGTGAAAGTATTTTTTTAATCACAAAATGTTGAAGCAGTTACTAGAGGATGAACGGGCTTGCTGTTGCCAGAGGGGCGTGACCCTGCTTTGCTGTTCCCTTTCTAGCGGTTGCATGCTGCACGGGCAGAGAGCTGCATGCTGCTGTCTGTTCCAAACCATGGAGAGGATGGGGGCGCTTTCATAGGAAACGGTGCTAACACAGGAAACCATATAAACATAAAGCCAAAAGCCCAAATAAACCCAGAAACGTCGTTGAAGAGGTTAACCCGTGAAATATAGAGATAGATTTCTACGTTACTGGTTCTTACTTTTCATAACTGTGTGTGAAATATTCTCAATGTCTTATGAAATCCGTCATCATTTAATCGTGGATAATATATAATGTCTATCAAATCTAGCTGTTTTGATAAAGATGTTTAGGGATATATATTACATACTATATAGAATTGTATATACTCTACATAACCATATATTTACACACACACACACACACACACACACACACACACACACACACACACACACACACACACACACACACACACACACACACACACACACACACACACACACACACACACACACACACACACACACACACACACACACACACACACACACACACACACACACACACACACACACACACACACACACACACACACACACACACACACACACACATATATATATATATACTTTTGCTATTAATCTGGCCTAAAAATTATTAGAAGAATCTAGTGCCAATTTCAATTTTGAAAAGCAAAGCAGTGTTAAAGGTTCCCGTAGCATAGAAACCCCATGATGGCAGGGGGTGTACTCTGAGCCACAGACTTCAGGTGACATTAGTCTGCACCCTGAGTCACGCCACCTCATGACGATAGGTCAGACTGTTCCAAAAAAATTGAGAAGAAAAATCATTACTATCCAAGTCTATGTTGCCGGTACCTTTAACTGTCATTCCAACGTGGGGAGAAGAGCTCGTTCTCTGTTAAGGTTGCTGTTGGTCACCGCCACCCACAGAATATTTCTGGAATCTCTCAGAGTGGGAGCCCAGCGTGAAGGAAAGAGGCTCCGTAAACTCTAGACTTGACCTCATCAGGTTCATGTTCCATCAGCTGAGCTAACCAGGCAGAGGCCAATCCCATGATTGGAAAATAGCAAAGCTGTTACCAGCACCTGGGAAACGAGGGGTCGCGTGGCTCGTGGAGTCTGGCGCTGGCTGGATTGAACTAAGTAGCTCAGGATTGGTGAAGCCAGTTGGAGTAGATTGAGATAAGTACGACCTTGGGATTTCATGGTTGAGACCACAGGAAGCTCTCTGAGTGGCTGTGAAGACTCTTCCATTTTCCAACAGGAGCAAGCTCGGGCAGAGTATGGGGACACAGTCGTTTGATGTAGCCCTTTGTTTATTTCTTTTCCCTGCCATCTTTCAGACAGTGAAAGTCCAAGGCAATGACATCTCCCACAAGCTTCAGATTTCCAAGGTGAGGAAAAAGGATGAAGGCTTGTACGAGTGCAGGGTGACGGATGCCAACTACGGAGCGCTGCAGGAACACAAGGCCCAGGCCTACCTGAAGGTCAACGCCAACAGCCACGCGCGCAGGATGCAGGCCTTCGAAGCCTCGCCCATGTGGCTGCAAGACATGAAGCCTCGCAAGAATGTCTCGGCCGCCGCCCCCAGCAGCATCCACAGCTCCGCCAACCAGCGAATGCCCTCCACCTCCAGCCCTCAAGCGGTAGCCAAAATCCCCAAACAAAGTCCACAATCAGGTATGGAAACCACTTTTGAGCCTTTCATTTTGCCACTCACACAACCCTCCCCCAGACGATGGGTCAAGGAGAGTAGCCAGGTGTATGCGTGACCGTTTTTAAAGTCGGAGCCCTAGCTCAGTTGAAATAACGATGAGACACAGAGCGTTCGAGGCTGGCCTCCATTGGGGATGTCACCCGCCCTAATAGTTGCCGGCCGTGCTACCTGTCCAGGGACCTAAGAGCTGGACTTTCATTTCTTTACTTTCTGTATTGACCCATTATAAGAATAATAAATCATGTCATGTCGGTTGCATTATAAATGCATGTTCGTTTTCTCTATAGATTTATGTATTGATAACGACCCAAATTAAGAGACTTTCACTTCATCAACATGTAAATGAAAGAGAGACACCCCATCTTCAGCGACCCATAGCTTTAGGCAGGGCTGCTCTCCAGGGGTTTTTGATTGGGGAGGAGAAGCGTCAGCTGCCCGTGAGGAAAGGGATGGTGGCAATGGCAGGAAGTGGCGCAGAGATAAGGCAACTCCTGCAAACGTGCCTTCCATGCCGACTGGGCAGCTCGGTCAGACATGCCCACAGTCCGCTGTGCAAGTTAAAGCTGTTCTGAGTGGCATGCGTGTATGCACCACTCAGCCTGTGGAAACTCGCTGAAGTTTCCGCCTTGATGTGGGACCCGGGCTTCTTGGAACGAGCAGTGCCTTGCACACCCCGGCGAACGTTCTGTATTCACTCTAACACTTGACGTAATGCTATAGGATGGAGGGGGCATACAAATATGTATCGTTCTTTAGGTTTTTTCCTTTATAGTTTATCATCGAAAAATTATTGCTACTAGTATTGGTAATAGAAAATTACATGGCTAACTTTCAAGTTCTCTTTTGCCATTAATTTTTTTTTTCAACCTGGTCATTTCATCAGGATAATTATATATACACTAGAGGCCCAGCGCACGAAATCGTGCTCGGGTAGGGTCCCTAGGCCTAGCCTGTGATCAGGGCCATCTCAGCCCATTCGCCAGTCTCCAGTCCCGCCCCACTGCCGACACCCACCCCGTTTCCCCGTTGGCCATCCGGTGACCTATCAGAGCCTGTGAGTCAGGGAGAGGGACCAAGAGGTCGGCTGTTCTGCCTGCTTGCCAGTTCCCAGTCCCCCCTCACTGCCAACACCCATCCCGGTTCCCCATGGCTCCCCATTCACCATCTGGCAATCGGAGCCTGTGGGCCGGGGGAGAGAGAGGTGGTCAATGCACCTCATAGCAACTGGTCGATTGGTCATTCAGGTTGTGACGCCGTTATGGTCGCTGGCCTTCTATTATATAGGGTATATATAATTATATCTTATTTTAGATGTATCTTTAAATCCTTTCTTGTGAACAATGCTTTTAAAATAATGTGCACCAACCTAGGATTCCTCCTTATGCTTCGTGTGCTAGTGGTATGTCTGCAGAGAGCTTGGCTAAGGGTCCCTGTGACTCTGCACTGCCTTGCGCTGTAGGTGATGCCTTGGTCATGGCGATTTATGTCAGTCTGATGAATAGATGACTTGCCTTCACTAAAGCTCCATTTGCTTGGCTTTGTCTCATTTTCCTCTTTATTGTCTCTTTTGTTTCCCAAATTAAAGAACAAAACCATACCTAGAATATATATGTGTGTGTGTGTGTGCTTATACATAAATAGCACGCACACACATATATGCACTTAGTGGTTATAAGTTTGCAGCCATTATTTGATAAAGATTTAACATCTTTGGCGGCATTGCCCCTCCCTTTCATGCCATCAGAAGAAGAATCGAGACACTATATGCAAATGTACAGAGCAGCCTCAGCAGACAGTTTACCACCTAATTAGAGAAAACTCCAAATCATGGCAGTGAAATGATTAGCCCACATAGAATACTCCCAGCTAGATTTCAGAAACCCATGCTGTGGAATAAAAATCAAGCATTCTATTACCTATTCCAATGAGGGATTCTAAGCATAGAATAAAATGTCCTACCTATTTCTACACTATTAACGTTGGATTATATAACGTACTCTGCAAATACCTGTTGTATTTGAATACGTCTTTTTGAGTATTGTGATTGGAGCTAAATGGCAAGCTCTAGAGATCTTCTAGCAATTTCCACATGGAAATCGCCGCTTGTTTTGCAGCTCAGCCCAGGCTCAGGCATTGCTTTTTCCAGAGGAAGGTGAACAGAGGGGATGCTGGCTCGTAGAAGCCGTGTTCACTAAAAGCCATGCTCACTAAACGTTACCTGCTCATCACAAAGATTAACCTGAAATATGTCAACATTTTTCATTTCTATCTTCTCTACCAGTGAACACTGGAGAACATTTTTTTATCCACATAACCTTTTCTAACTTCTCATCAGAAGCTGGGCTGGCCCAGCACCCCTTCTCTTCGTGTGTACGTTTCCCGACTTGCAGGATTATTGTCTAAAACACGGTCTCCGGGTGGCTATGGTATAGTCTACTCGGCGTAATACCCAATCCTGATTTATCATTTTTGCTTTATACATTTTCAGGTTCTACTCAAATAAAGCTGATTTCAATGCCCATGCTTTATTTACTCGCTCATTCATTCAGGCTCCATTCATTCACATTTCCAACTCTGATTTCATTCAGGAGAGCCAGGCTGGGGTTCACTATTGTCCCCCAATATTTCTCCACATATATGACCCATGAGCACATGGCAGAGTAGAGAAGGCTGCGCCCACGGAGAGGTGGCCCCTCTTCCCCTCCCCTTAACCCCCTTCCTGGGCTGGCCCGTGACCACTTTGGCTGTAAGATGAGAAGTCACACTATGCTCATTGCAGACCTGGCTTTGAGAGGACTGGCAGCTTCTGCCATGGCCCCTAGAAGCCAGCAACCCCTGAGAAAGTGCAGCTCCCTTGACATCCCCTTGCCCAGCGAAGCCTCAAGCTGTCAACCTTGACCTTCAGCCCCAGCGGCCACTTCATTGCATTGTGAGAGATGCCCAGTGAGCACGGCCTGAGCCAGCTGGACACAGACCCTGAGAGATCCTTGCCCCGTGTCGCCCTCAGGCACTCGGCCCCACGTGGTTTGTCTCACAGCAACAGGCATCCAAGTCGACCCCCTCAGCCCCAGAACTCAAAACTGAACTTATCATCTCAGCTTTCTCACCAAAACACACACGTTCTTCCTCCGTGGCTCCCAAATCCTTTCAAGAGCAAACGTCATCACAACCACAGGTCTTCGAAACCTGACAATGTTCTCGCCTCGTCTTCGGTCCGTTGCCACAATGAGCCAGTCACCGGGGCCCACTAATTGTCTCTTCCCAACATCCTTGAACAGCAGGATCTTTTCTGTTCCACCAACACGGATTTCATTCTCTGCACGGGCCTCTCCCTCTCTCCTCTATGTCACCAGCTCCTACTAGCAGGCCTGTGTCTGTTCTAACACAGGGAACAGGTCACAACAGAGCAAACACTCACTCATGGTGTTTCCGGAGCAGCGCCGCCAGCTTGCAGGGTCTGATTCCCAGCCCCGCGTCTCCCGGGTTCCCAGTCCTCGCGCCTCATCTTCCTCAGGGCGTGTCCTGCATGTTCTTGGATCCTTTCCAGCTTCGCTGACTTCAGAAAGGCCGTTTTCCTTGTGTGGGTCGTTCCCTATTTGCTGGTCAGAACCGATGGTTTTCTCCAGACCAACGCCTCTGTGCTTCCAGTGCAGCCATCCTTGTGCCTTAGGAGTGTTTTCTTGGGACTTTCCTGGCGGTGCTGGGAGGCCCACGCTCGGGCCCCTCTGAGTGGCAGGCAGAGCAGGTAGGACAACGTCTTGGCTGCAGACCCTGCAGCTCGCACCTGCTTCTCTTTCAGTGGCCCCCACGCGTGGCACTCACGTTGGGAGAGAAGGGGGAGGGAGAGGAGTGGGATATGTTGGCTTTCACCTTCTTCCTCTTACAATTATATTTACATAAATAGCATCGCCTCTATGCCAACGCTGACCAAGACTCCTCACCAGTGTTTCTCAGAGTGCGTAGCGCAGCCAACCGTGCCAGAATCGGGCTTGTCAAGTCGTATTCCAGGACCTACTGAGTCTAGAACCGGAGCAGGCATTTCTGTGAGCAGTAAATTATGAGAATCGTTACCTCTAAAAAGTTCTTATGGGTGAGAAAGTATTTTTATCACTTACTATGAGGGGTGTGTGAGTGTGTGTGTGTGTGTGTGTGTGTGTGTGTGTGTGTGTGAGATGCTACTGTTTCAGAAGCGGGTCTTTCTCTGGGACCGTTTTCCTACTCGGGTGCTGAGATGGCCTTTGGGAAGCTGTTGTGTTGGCTCCTGCGCCCGCAGCTGGCGCTGGGAGGAGCACTGGCCGTGGCTCAGGTGTAGGGATGCTCCCACGTGCGCGGGTCTCCCGAAGGACAAGACAACGTCTTGGCTGCAGACCCTGCAGCTCGCACCTGCTTCTCTTTCAGTGGCCCCCACGCGTGGCACTCACGTTGGGAGAGAAGGGGGAGGGAGAGGAGTGGGATATGTTGGCTTTCACCTTCTTCCTCTTACAATTATATTTACATAAATAGCATCGCCTCTATGCCAACGCTGACCAAGACTCCTCACCAGTGTTTCTCAGAGTGTGTAGCGCAGCCAACCGTGCCAGACTCGGGCTTGTCAAAAGTCATATTCCAGGACCTACTGAGTCTCGAACCAGAGCAGGCATTTCTGTGAGCAGTGAATTATGAGAATCGTTACCTCTAAAAAGTTCTTATGGCTGAGAAAGTATTTTTATCACTTACTATGAGGTGTGTGTGTGTGTGTGTGTGTGTGTGTGTGTGTGTGTGTGTGTGATGCTACTGTTTCAGAAGCGGGTCTTTCTCTGGGACCGTTTTCCTACTCGGGTGCTGAGATGGCCTTTGGGAAGCTGTTGTGTTGGCTCCTGTGCTGGGAGGAGCACTGGCCGTGGCTCAGGTGTAGGGATGCTCCCACGTGCAGCTCTGTGGCGTCTCTAACGCTGGGGGGAATGCTGCTTCTCCGAGCTCTGAA